CCCCAAAACCCCAAAACCCCAAAACCCCAAAACCCCAGATTTAGAGGAAATAATTGAAATTTTAACTTTTTTGAAAATTTGGAGAGATTATGAATAACAAAGAGTGTTTTGATGGGATTGAAGAATCTGGAAGTAGCTTTTTGAAGGAGAACTCAGTAGAGTTAGAGAACAGCATGAGGGAATCAGGGGAAGAACTGTACTTGAGGCAGCTTGTAGATGAGCATAAGCAAGGAGAGAATCAGCTTAAGAATGTAGTGTTTGGGTATTCATTGACGATGTTTTCGATGATGGGAATTGCACTTATGCATATATGTGAGAAATTTGCGTTTTATTATAACCCCAAACTTAATATTTTGGATGGGATACTTATTCTTGGGCTTACTACATTGCCGATAAACTTTATGATTAACAAAGCTAAAGGAGTAACCATTAATATTTTCCAATATGACCGAAAAGTTCAAATTGTTATGGCCTTTGCTATTCTATCATCTTGTAGTGTAAACTCGATGGAAATGTGGGCTCTATTATATATATCAGTTGGTAAAGTGTCTCTGATCTTCAACCTGCATCCTCTATTTTGTATCTTTATTGCATGGATCTTCTTGAGAGAAAGAATCGACAAAATGTCCATAATTTTCTCTGTTATTGCCCCTGTTGGAATTTACTTCCTCACTATCAACCAGACAGACTTTGACGGAGAGTACAATCCGAACACTCTATTTGGCATTACAATCATTTTTATTGGAGCATGAAACGAAGCATGCATCATCATATGTCAAAGAGTGTTGTCTTTATACAAAGTTGATGCTTTACTATACCCATTTTATTCATCATTAGGGTTGACAATTTTAGGATTGGGTGCATATTTGATATTCCCAGACAAAATGTTGTTTCCATATTACGGATTCACAGATATAATTTTCTGAACTGCTTTTGGAGTAGGATTGATGGCCAACCAAGGATTCCTTGGCTGTGCATTGGAGTATCAGAGTTCATCCAGACTTGCTCCATTGAACTACTTTGAGAACGTGTTCACCTTACTTTCAGATGTACTCATGTTTGGCTATGTGTTTATTTACACAGACTACATAGGTATTGCCATAATTACAGTTTGATTATGCACTCCTGCTTTTGTTAAGTTGCTAACAGCAGACTCTTAATACAACTACCTGAAGTTCTTAATTTAGCGTTCTTCATGTTCAACCCCCAAATAATGCTTTGGGGTTTTGGGGTTTTGGGGTTTTGGGGTTTTGGGG